TGCCCTGGGTCAAGAGGGTGGCTGCTGGAAGATTCTATGTCTGGCAACAGGACTCTGTACGTAAGCAGGAGAACCCAGTCATGGCTGTCAGACAATTTCTGCGACCACATCACCCCCTCCCCCTACATCTGGCCACTCACCCTCCCAGACTGAAACTCCCTTCATTATTATGTGTGGGGGTGCATTTGAGCAAGGCACAAAACAAAACTCTTTGTAACACCAAAGATATAACCGAAGGCAAGGATTATGGCAGCATTCACCTACTTAAACAAGGAAACTGTCTAGAAGAGTTGCAGGAGATTCCAAAGTCATCTGGAGGCTGTGGCTGAAGTCAATGGCGACTTTATTGAATAAATGTATTCTTTAGTATTTCAAGATATTTTTGTGCAATTTTGGTAACTGTATCTCTTAAAATGCGATGTCAGTGTTATTTTCATTTGTGTGTCATTTAGACGACAATTTATTCATCGCACGCTGTAGACTTCTGATTTTCTTCAGTACCAATGAGCAACTGATGTTGGCATAACTGCAGGGAATGTTATACCTGCAGTTTTTGGTCATATTTTCTTCTAGTTTTAATTCTGATGAAGTATCTGTTGTACAGTAGAAATACTTTTGAATTCTGTCCTCATTTTTGAATCTTTTTCAAATGTAAGAGAGTGCTGCTCGTGTCTTCTAAAGCCATCTACATCTGACGCTTCTGTTGTAACTGGTGGTGGTGGTGGTGGTGGTGGTGGTGGTTATATTTGCATGGGAGGGGATGTATTCTTTATGCCTGGTCATCTCACTTTGGGGTAGAGATGGTTGTGTCCATGAATTACTTGAGCTTGATGTTTTATCAATAGAAGTAATTCTTTTAATTATTCTGTATAGATGGTTGAAACAGAATACAAGGATATTTTAAACTTTGATTCTATAATACTACATCCATGAAATCCAAAGAGAAACTCTTGATATGACAGATCTACAAATGAAAACTTTCCCCCAATCCAAGTGCATACACCCACCCACCTTCTGCAGAGTGAATGGTTTTAGTCAAAACTTCCAGCAAGTTAACAATATTAGTGAGCTCTGATAAAGGCCAAAGGTCATAAGCCCCAAGAAATTCTGCTAAAGGCAACTTCAGACAAATCAATGTATAATAGCAAGGGTGACTCATTTTAGAAATTCAGATAAACAATAATTACTTAGACTTAATTCACAAAGCATAAAAAGTGTTTGATTGCCTTTCATGTTGTTTACACGATTAATTATTTCCAAAAGGATTGGATGATATCTAACTAAGGAAAATGTTTTTAATGCTTAGAATATGATGCGATTATTTAACAAGTAGGAGTTGAAGTCTAAAATTATTAAAGAAATAAAATGAATAAAAATTGTGAATTTATTGGATGTAAAAATTCTGTTTTCAACTTTTACTAAACTGAAAAGATGTTTTGCAGAAGAAAAAAGGATTCTGGTCACAAAAGATGAGTAAATTGTAGACATTTGTGATTTTCATGTAAATTGCACAAATTATCTTTCACTGGATTATTAAGGTCAGAAGATATTAAAAATTTTCATATCAAAACTGATTTTTTTTTTAACAAGGACTGCTGTATTTACAAATATTTTTTCAATAGCTGGTCATTTATATTTACAGTGAAAATGTCTAGGAAAAGAAAAACAATAAAAGAAAAATTTTGTTTTAGAAAGTCAAAATTATTTTGTGCACACAAAATAAGTTCAATAGAAACAATATTTTTGTATAAATCTTTTTGTCTGGGTCTCATAGGTTTTATTCAGTTGCTATATTTCTCTGAAACTGATCCATTTTTCAATGGCCTAAGCTGTTCTTGTTGCCTTTACTGTCCTTCTACAAATCATTAAAAGATTCAGTTTTGATATCAAAATTTTCAATATTTTCTGAACTTTTAATAATCAATATCTTCTCTTCATATTCCTGCAGTTTTTGCACAAGAAGTAAAAAAGCATATTTGAATTTAAACAGAAACTTCTTACATGACATTAAATAGTGAAACACAAATAAATAAAAGTGTAAGATACTAATCATAGTAAACTACTAAGAACAAATAATAAAGCAATAAAAATATTAAAGCATTAATAAATAATAGCACAGTCATAAAAAATAATAGCACACTAATAAAAGTAAAGTACTAATAAATAAAAAATACTAAATAATATTAAATCACTAATATAGGATAAAGAAGTTGTTTGTTTAGTGGCATATCAACTCCTTTATGGGTCATTTAATGCTGAAATTTAATTTTCTTGGGAACATTAGTAATTTCTTTTACAAAAATGTATTGCTGAAAATTTTATTATAAAAAATGTATTTTTATACTTTCATAGTCTTTTGACCGTTGTTTGGGGGTTAACTATTTGTCCATAGCGGGGACCTTAACAGGTGCTATCAACCTGGATCTGGGAATAACATCAATTAGGAGGTGGTTCCATGCTCCTCAAAACCTCCCAACCAGAGGCCTTGTTGCCGGATGTAGTTTATTGTCATACCCAGGACGATGGATAAAGAAGTAGAGACATTGTCAAAAAAGAAAAAGGTGGTGTCATTCCTCTTAATCGGCCATCTTTTCAATGAACACTTATCAAAGGGGATCGTTGATAAGTTTACAAATATTAAACCATAAAACAGAATTATCAATAAAAACGAGGTAACACCTCCAAAAAGTAGACTTTATCATCTGCCATCTCACCCAAAAAGTTAGAGACAGATAGAAGGACAACTTAGGTTTTGCTGGGTAACTTTAAGGAATAGCCAATCATGTCAAGCAACTATATTTGCAGACTATGTAAGATTCAGTGATTGGTAATCCTGTCTGTACCAACACACAATTTTTCTCATACAACAGATTTAATATTTAAAGTGTGTCACACTCATCTTTTCATTTAAAGGTTTTGGAATATTTTCAACTTATCAACAATCCTCTTTGATAAGAGTTGAGTAAAAAGCTGACCACTTAAAAGGAATTATTCTGCCTTTTTCTTTTTCACAGTTAATTTCAACATGTCTCCTCTTCTGGCTATAATTAAGGTTTGTATCATTAAGAAATGATTTGAATCTCTAAAAAATATTAAGGTAGTAATAAAAAAATAGTCACACTATAATAATACTAATAGTAATATTAATAAAGTGCTAACTAATAGTAAAGTACTAATATTAAAATATAAAAATATTCATGTAATAATATTAGAGCACTAGATCAATAAAAGACAACAAAGTATGAATAATAGAGCTTAATAAATAATGAATAAATAAAAAGGGTAAAGTTTAACATATGTCTCTGCCAAAAAAAAAGGGTGTGTCAAAAAGATGTTTTTTCTCTTGACACTGCTATTACTGTCTACTTTCTATTACTGTCTACTTTCTCAGCAATATTTATTTGTTTTTAAATATCTATTTTTAGAATTTTAATAAAACTCAAAACATGAAACAAAATAATGGCTTTCTCTCCTTTTTTGCAAATTGACAACAAAACTATGCAACACTATTCCAGTAAATAAAGAGTATAATAAATAAATTAGACTCATCCAACATTTTTGCTGTTAATTCTCAAGAAAAAAAAATATAAACCCAGATGCTTTCAATCTATTTTACTGAATGTATAGGGTGTGATGGCTAAATTAAAACCATTTTATATTTTTAATTTTGCGCATGCACATTGTTTGTTTTTGTCGACTGCACATTATTAGTAGGGTCAGTTGGGCAACGTCTGTAAGAAAAAAAAATCATGACACAATTCACTCTGCCAGAAATTTGGAAACAGCATGCTGTACTGCTTGCCATTTGCACCAGAAACTCCACTACAAACATTTCAGTGTGTTTGGGTGTCAATCTGAGGACAGTGCAGAGGATTCGAAAAGAGTTGGATGAGTCTAATGGTAATTATGAAAGTATGGCAGCTTGGAAAAGACACTCTGATTATTCTGATAAGAAAAGAACTCACAAATTTGTGAGGGCTTCAGACTCAACACGGAGGCCGACGTGAAGTGCCTTGAGAAGGTAGTGCTACCCTGGGTCAAGAGGGTGGTTGTCTGGCAACAGGACTCAGCACCATGTCACACAAACAGGAGTACCCAGTCATGGCAGTTAGACAATTACTGTGACCACATCACTCCTTACATCTGGCCGCCTAACTCTCCAGACTGAAAACCCCTTGTGTGGGGTGCAGTTGTTACTCCTTGTAATACTAAAGATGAACTGAAGGCAAGAATTATGGCAACATTCTCCAACTTAAAGAACATCCAGAAGAGTTTCAGGAGATTCCGAAGTCATCTTGAGGCCATGGTTGGAGCAACTCATGATTTTATTGAATAAATTTACACTTTAGTATTTCAAGATAGTTTTGTGGAAGTTTGGTAAATATATCTGTTAAAATGGGATGTCAGTGTTATTTTCATGTTGGTGTCATTTAGACGACAATTTATCCATCGCACCCTGTATGTGATGAGAGCAAATGAAAGAAATGCCAGGAAAATGTATTTTTTCAAAATTTATAAATACAGTTACTCATAGTCACGGGTTTATTTAAATTTTCTTGTTTACACACATTTTTTATAAATTTTTAACTAAAAAAATTGTTTTCATAGTTATTTCTTTAAAATATGTTAAATAATAAATTTTACATTGTAGTTGGATTGTAGATTGTTATAATCTTATAAACATAAAACTATTCTTATAAATAAACCATCTAATAAATAAATAGTACTTCATATTTTTGTTGGCTATTCTCAAGAAAAAAAGAGAATGCATAGTTTCATATATTTAGGTATTATTAAAATTCTAAAAATAGGTTTTTAAGGCAATAAAAGTTACTGAAGCAGTATATTGTAATAGTGGTGTCAAGAGAAACAAAATGTTCTTTTGACCGTTTTTTTGCAAGGACGTTTGAGAGAAAATTAAATACAATTTAATAATGTTTGATAAAAATAAAAAAGAAACAATTTTTGAAATAAAGAAATGGAGAAAGAAGAAAACTTACATTTTCCTCTGAATTGTCATCAGTTTTGTTGATTTCATTATGTGATGTGTGGTTACACTGAAGATTTGAAAAGCTTTCCTCATCAGAATTATTGAAATTATAGCCAACAACCACACAGTGGTCAGAGTTCAAAAGAGTTTCTTCAAATATCCAAAATTGATTGACTTTCCCATCCAAATAGAAAACTGTGTCTGTGACATTTTGGTCATTAGTCAAAGGGTAAGAATTCAAGTGGAACTCAAGTCGATCAAGACCAAAGCCAATTCCTTCACCCAAAGCTTTTACTACACTTTCTTTTAAACACTGTTAAACAGAAAAGAGGAAATTCATTAACACAATTAGATTTGTACAGAAACAAATGAGACAAAGTGTAAATCATTTAAGAAACACTTCATGATACAAATTACAATGGTTCCATCCCCACTTAAAGTCAGTAAACATTATTTAACATGGATGGTTAAATATGAAATTAAGAAAGACATTTTTTATGTTTCAATTTTGAGAGAAAGTATCTTTATTACAAATGTCCACTTCATTTTCTGAGTTTTTATTATTGCTTCTTCTTATTATTATTATGGATTCTTATTTTGACAATATTATTATTGTTCTACTTAATAGTTGTACTTCTTTTTCTTATTATTATGTCTTCTTATTATGACATTGTTGTTGTTATTATTATTATGGCTTCTTATTACACATTCTATGCTAAATATACTCTGACTATTAAAGTAACATGGAAATGAAACAAAGTAGGCATGTCTGATGACTTAAATTTATAATCACATAGACACTTGAGAAGAGTTTTAACCAAGCTGGGCTGAAATTTATAGCTATTTTTTTCTTTTTAGGGTTTTATGTTATACAGTTTGTTTACAAAGAAGAGGAGAATATCTTTCTTAATCCCTGCTTACTCTAAATTGCTACAGGCTTAGGAGTCTATATCAAAAATGGATTTCTATGTGGCAGAGACCTGAGTAATGAATTCCTTGACTTCCCATTTATGTTGGCCTTGTGTAGCTCTTGTCCATCATATGTCATTCACCTTTATGATCTTTCATTCTCAGGATGATTAGTGTTGTGATGTTTTGACAGAATAGCTGAGAAGATTGACAAGATCCTGTCTAATTATTTCTCAATTTGTACACATATATGCAATGATTACAATGTTCATTATGAGGAATGATTAATCCTCTCAAACAAAACTGATGAAGAAGGTAGATACTGCCAAGATATCTCCATTGCATACAACCTGACCAGGATCATGATCTCTGCCAGCTTTGTGATCACACTATTTTTCAGGCTCATTAGAAACCTTGACTCTATGAAGGCTACTGGTCCAGATAAAATCACTGTGTTTGTATTTAAGAACCTTAGTCCTGAATTACCTCCAAGTTGGCCAAAGTTATCTAAAAGAGAAATGTTTCACATGTCTGTAAAGATATCAGTTGTCTGTTGCTTTCAAGAATGCTAGTGAGTGTTCATCTCCATTGCAATATCACTGCATCAGTTGCCTTAGTGTTGTTAGAAAACACTTTTAGTCTATTATCACCAAGTAGTTTCTTGATCAGCTGAACAAAAACAACCTCCTAAGTGACCAACAGTATGGTTTTCACTCTTCTAGTTCCGCTGCTGATGTTTTAATTCATTACCCACAGAATCAATGGTAGCATAATTACCAGAGTAATTGCCTTAGATATCTTTTGACAAGGTGTAACATAGGGGTCTGCTAAACAAACTCTCCAGTTATAGCATCTCTGGAAGAGTTTAAGAAATCATCAATTCCTTTCTCTTCAGTAGGCTCAGGAAGGTCGTTGTGAATGGCCAGTCTTCTGAAGCCCATGGGGCTCTCTCCTTGGTACTTGTCTTTTTCTTTTTTTTATTAATGATCTGCCAAGAATTATTCTCACATCATAAGTAAACATTCATGCAGATGATGCCACAGTTTATGGATGCACTTTCAATAATCAAGATGATTGGTGCTTAGCAGCTGATCTCTCCTCTGATTGAGCTCTAACAGCTCATTAGGGAAAAAAAACTAGCTTGTAAATTTCAATACCTCAAAAACCAAGCTGGTATCATTTTATCACTGATCTGAGTTTTATACAGTCATGGTGAATGGTTGCACTCTCACTGAGACTCCAGACTTTGAACATCTCTTGGGTCTTAAGTTCATTCCAGACCTCAAGTAGAACTCATAGGATCCAGTGTTAAATATGGTGAAAAACTAATTAACTAATTCTATTGCTCCAGGAAGTACCTGACATCCTCTTATGCTTTATTTTGACAAGAGTCAGATTAAACCAAAACATGGAGTATTGCTACTGTATTTTTACTAGTGCTTCTGAACCCTCACTTTCTAGTCGTGATAGAATTCAACATCGTTTACACAGTTTTGTTGGAGGAAAGATTCTATTGTGCATCCTCTTTCTCACAGATGCAAGTCTATCACTGCTCCGTTGCTATTTCTGTGGCCAAATATTCAGATGAACATCATTGTTTAGTTCCACCATTTTAAACCATTACAGGTAGTATATGCCATGCCACTTCCACAGAGTCAAATCACCCTCATTTCCCCTTTATTCCAAATGGAAAGTGAAAGTTCCACTCAGACAGCTTTTTCCCAAGAACTATCACTTTGTGGAACAGACTCCCACATGGATCAGTCAGTTATGTGCAATGCATGATACACACTTAGGCGATCATGTATCTTTTGATACATGACTGATGAGGCAGATTTTTTCCCACAGTAGATTACCATTTCTTTCTGCGGCAGACCAGTTGCCATCCAAGGCTATAGAACCCGGTCTGTCCTGCTATTTATCCATAGCTTGGGGAGAAGAAGAGGATTCATACCTTTCCCAAGGGTATTAGCACATAAGTGAATGTAATGGATTTGAATGGAATTTGAACTCAGCTCTCCGATTCCTCAGTCTGAGCCACTATCCATTACTCCACTGCCTCCCCTCCCACATGGATACTTTTCTGAAAACTAAAATCTTGAACCTCATCAAGGATCAATCATTATCTATCCTCATCATTTTCACTTCCTATACTCCCCCCTCTTTTATTCATCATAACAATTTTAACCTTGGGTGGCTCTCGAGCCTTGTACTGGGTGAACTTTAGTATTAAAAAAAAAGAAGTTTTTTTATTACAATTCCCAAAGTATTTACTTTAAAAGTCTAGGATTGTGTCAACCAAGGAGACTGAATGAAAGACGACGATAATTTATCCCAAATCAAGAATCTGGATAATTTTTTTAAATCATTTCTAGATAATTAAACGTCATCCATCTGAATAACGTAAAAAAAGGTAAAGAAACAGAAATTGATGATTGTTAACATGAAAAATTTTCTAAAGATTTAGATTTAAATAATATATATTTGACAGTTTTGATTTTAACAAGAGAAATCTACTTAGTCATATAAAGGATTTTTTTCAATTATTTTAAACAAAGAAAACCAAAAAATGACAATTTGTTGATGATTATTTTCTAATAAAATTAAAGTTGAGCATGTTATCAACAAAGCAAGTATTTACAAAACGTCTGACGACATTTTTAATGCATGACTTTATATAACACACATGCAGCCGAAGCTTATGCAATGTGAGGTGGACTTCACCAGGAGTATTTTACTGAAAAGGCTGGACTATTGTAAGGAATCTTGAAAGTATTATTATTCAGTTTTGTCCTCATCCCACCTTTGTTTCTGTTCCCCAATATCTGCTCCCACCCACTTTGTTCCTGTCCACCAAATATCTGCCTCCCCCTTTGTTCCTGTCCCACCAAATATATGCCCCCATTTGTTCCTCCCTACCCTCGCAATTTCTGCACCCCTGTTTCTGTCCCCCTAATATCTGATGATTGCAATCAAAGATTTTTTTCATTTTTTCCATTGTTTTTCTTTCTTGATTTGTTGCTGTTTCTCTGATTTAGTTTTAAATTTTTCAAATAAATAAAAGATTTTCAAATTGTTTTTATTTTCACTTCTTATGATTGTCAAAATCATGACAACAAACCAAAAACAATATATCAAATTGACAAATTAACTTTTAAGAATTGTTTTTCCTTGGAATTTAAACTTAAGAAATTTTGACTTGAATGATTTTTCTCAATTATTTGAATGCTGAGAGGAAATATTTTCATTATTAATGGAGTTTTCTTTGTCTTATTTTTTACATTCATGTTGTCATCTTTTTGAATTTCTGGAATGAGGAGTTTATCATTATTTACATGGGCACTATTGTCCTCATCTTTGTTGTTATTATCACAATGATTCAGCCATTGTACCTTCTGGCCTCCATCAACTGCTTGTTGATCTGGGTGTATATATATATATATATATATATATATATATATATATATATATATATATATATATATATATATATATATATATATATATATACATGAACCATTTATTTAATCTATGAGGTGCACTATTCTCATTCCAGGGACCATGTAAATAATATTGTCATATATTTTAAATTTTCTGTGACCATATTGGTTAAGATAGGTACCTCCATGAGAGCATAGCATGATGAAAAAGATGCCAAACTTGACAAAAACAAAATTTTATCGTCTAAATGTTTATGTCATTATTAAGAGGAAAAATCAAAGTATTTTGGGGGTATTTTTTTTACATTTTTTAATTGTTCCTAGCACGTCCGAAATTTTTGTTAAAAATCTTGCTTTTTTGAGTCAGCAGAATTGACCATTTTTTTTCCATTTTATAAATAAACTGGAAAACTCACTTTGAAATTCTTTTAAATATCAATTATCATTTTTTCAAAACTTATTTTAAGAAAATCAGAAATTATAATGTTTATTTAAAATATTTTGAACCAAGCTTAACTTAGCTTTTGCGCCGAAAAGATGTAATTTGAAAATAAAACAAAGCAGGTCATAAACTTTCGCATCACTTGACAAGTGATGAATGACATATTGACAGATTCTGTGAGGATTATTTGTTCTATGGAAGGAGAAAAGTGAAATAATTTACATTTAAGTGAACAAATTATTTACCTCATTATTTTTAAGGAAAACTTTCAGCGCTCTAATTGTTTTTTCTTTTTTGTACTTAGCTTTCACCTTTACGTTTACAATGCTTTATGGAAAATATATTATAAAGAAATTAAAATAAGACTGTTAAGAATGAGATTAAATTTCATATTTCATAAGAAAGGTATCTAATTAATTTATAGGTACCATTTTTATGAAATTTTATGAGAAGTGTACATAAAATACTATAATTTTATGTACATTTATTACATTTTACTGTGTTATTTGTATTTCCATTCATTTTATTATTAATTTTGATATTTCATTTATGGAAAAATGTCATAACTGAGATTAATATAAAAATAAGATCATATAAATTTCATAAGATGATACTGATACTTGTAGGTACCCTTCTCAGTTGAAATTGAAAAATCAAATTAACTTCTCCACATGTGTTACGCAAAAAGTAAAGGCCTTAACAGCGGAGAACAATGCTTAACTGAAATAACGCAACTTAATTTTATTCTGGTTGGTCTTCCATACTTTATAATTACAGCCCGATTATAAACACAAAATCACATTTCTTAATTACTGTGGGTCTTCTGATTAGTCAAAACGATACAATTTACAATGTGGAAAAAAAAAGATCTATCTCATAAGGACATTTACGAAAGTGGATGCTGCTTTTACCTAATTTTATAATATTTTAAAAAATTAAATGTAAAAATCTTATAATTAAGAAATAACAAATAATTGTATTAAAAATTCATTTTTCATCGAAAAAATTTTTTGCTTTCAGAAAATAGTGTCCATATTCATAAAAGCATTTGAAATTAAATAATATCTTTGTTTTATTGAGTTTTGTATGTTACAATTCAGAGCTGATTTTCAGGCGGGGGAGGGGGTCTAATTAAAAACAAAGGAAAAACATGATTTGCATTCCTCAAAGCCTGGTGCTTTTAACTATTATAATCATTAAACTAGACAATTGAATTTCTAGTGTTTTCATAAAATTAGTTGGGGGAGGGGGTAATAAATATGAAAAAAAATATTTCTGACATGACTTTAATAAAAAAACATATTTATAATAATTTCAATCATCTGTGAATAGTTCCTGAAAGTTTCATTAACATCCAACAATTATTTATATTTTTGCAAGATTTTCCAAATTAATGTGTGCCATACCAAAAATTTATTTACTAGTTCCACTGATACAAAGAGAAACAAGGTTTTTTTAATCAAAATTTTGAATGTTCTAAAAAGAAGGAAATATTTTTTAAAAATAATTAAAAAAAACTTTAGTCTTTCCTCTTAATAATAACATAAGCATTTAGATGATAAAATTTTGTTTTCAGCAAGGTTGGCGTCTTTTTCATCAAGCTATGCTCTTTTTTTAGCGATTTCGTGGAAGTACCTAGGTTAAGGTATCATCCATGAGAGACAAGCTTCCCCTGGAATACAGAATTTGACTTGAAACCTTATTAAAAGCTGCTACTTCTTTGTTCATACTTCTAACCTGATAGAGTTTTAAAAGTTGCAACAAAAAGCAATAATAAAACAGAAAGGATTAGTCAAAAATGAATCAATAATTTATCTATTATTTGATTTGCTTTGAATTCAGGGATTCTCATAAAAGCTTCACAAAAATCAAGAAAGATGAAAGCAATTCAAGTGGATTTTTCTTTTTAAAGTTGTGATAAAATCAAAAACAAAATATAAATACCCAATGCCGAAAAAACATTTGCAGTTGCAAAATTTCACTTGGTTGTCTTTTGATTATTTTCCATTCTTTCTCTGTAAATTGTCTTTGCATATTATTGAAAAATGTTTCTAATGACCTTCCGCCTAAAATGATAAGAGAAAAAACCAAAGCAAAAAAAGGCAAATTACAAATTTAAAGGAAATTATGTTATCTGTTGTCATTTATATAAATTCTTTGTTTCAATTTGACAATCATTTTTAAATAAAATGATTCTACAGAAAATAAATTTTTACTAAAAACATAAAAGCATTTTATTTTTTTAAATGTCATGATATTTCAGAACATACGTGATCATAGCCCTCCACAGATTCTTTTTTTTTTTTATTTATTAATTGCCATAATTTCTTGGAAAAGGATACAGTGTAGTAGTTCCCTGGGCCATCACCACAGTTTAGAATTCAGAGTTGTCCTTCTCTCACATTGGTTGCCAAACAAAGCTTGAGTTGAGCTTACTCTGCAATTTAATCCATAAGTGTAAGAGAAGAAATGGATTTTTCTTTTCCAAAAACTATTTGTTCAAATGTGAATGCAGCAGACTGGATGGAAATTTGAACTCAGCTTAATCATTTCATTTTTTGCAGCTCTAACCATTATGCTACTCATACATCTAACCATTTTATTAATTATAAATTTTACCTTGTACATCAAAATCTAATTTCTTGTTAGAAGTTATTATATTGTATATAAATATAAAAGACATCACATTAATTGAATTGAATCAGGATTTGAACAAATTGCAGTTGTCAATTGACAGAATATTTTGATTTAATAATCATCTTAAGAAATTTTAATTAAATTTTGTAAGTAAACCTAATAATTGTCATCAGATGGTAGAGCAAAAGTATTAAGAACAAAAGAACAATCAGTTTTGTCCATCAACTGATATCAAAATGAAATTTTAATGACATTTTTAAAACAACAACTGAAGCAAAAACAAAAATGTTGGGTTAGAAAAAAAAGCCAAAATTAAACTATTTTTGGCTGGCAAAAATATTCATTTTGTTTATATTCATAAAATATTCATTTTGTTTATTCAATAAAACTGCAAGACTTTTTTTCTTTTCAACATTAACTTCATGGAACAGTGTATTTTCTGTTTTGGTCAAACATATTTTCTGTTTTTGCTATCTTTCTGGTAAGTTCATAATTCCATCCACTTAGAATTCTTTATTTTTCTCAGCACTGCTCTTAGCACTTTATACAGTCTTCCAGGAATTATTTTTTTAAACAAGAAAGTTCTTTAAAGACTGAAATAAATTATAAGTTGAAAGTACAATATTTGTTGAATACTGACAAAATAATAAGTTTTGCCTGGCCACAAAAGAAAAGAAACTTGACTGTTATCCAGATGGAATATTATGTGCTTTCTCTAATACCAGATGTGATTTTTATCACTTGCTATTTTTGAATGATCTATTTGGAAGTAATACTTGTTAATATCAATCATTTAGTTTATTAAAAGGAGCTCATAGAAAATGACTTTTTTCCAGTCCCACTATAAACACAGTATCATCATCTTTAGATGAAGATAAGTTTTGGGTTAGGGTTAGGGGTCATTCATTTGGTTTGACGCACAATCTCTTGCATTGTAAATTATACATCTTTTATCACCCATCAATATTTATTTTAAAAAGTTGAACATTTTTATTGTTTCAGCAGTAAATCACATCTGTAAATAATTCTCCCATAGTTTTTTTTGCTTATGTAGAAGCCACCCATCAAATTGACTAACATAACCAAAACTGATAGAAATAATTTGGATATTTTCAGTTCATAGTCTCCATGTTATATAACATTTATTTTTCTCAAGTAATATCTTCATTTGATAGCTCTCAACCTTCAGAACATCATTCAAAAAGAAATCTCCAGTATGAAATATTAAAACCACTTTTGACAATACCTTCTCCATATTTACACTATTTACATTGTTCGGCTTGTTGTCCTCATCTTTATTGCCATATTCATGATGTTTTAATCACTGTATGCTCTGGCCTTCTTCAGGTGATTGGAATTTTGAACTGAACCCTTTATTTTGCCCACCAGGGTAGACTGTTCTAGTTCCACATACCATGCCCCTTCCGGATATCACAGAATCACTTATCTTCCTTTTATATCAACTCTCCAAGGTTTTGTTCACCTCAGCTGTAGCCAGGTATTGAACTCAGAACTCATTGGGTCAAGTCACTGGATTCAACCAACGCTTTTCTCCACTTGACCCAAAGAGTCATGAGTTCAGTAGCAGAGGTGAACAAAAACTTGAGGAGTTGAGTTAAAAGGGAGATAACTGCTACTAAAATATCCAAAAGAGGCACGGCACATGAAACTAGAACAATCTACTCTGATGGACTAAATAAAGGTTTCGGTTCAAAATTCCAGTCACCTGAATAAAGCAGGAACATACAAAGGTTGAAATGTCATGAATATGGCAACAAAGATGAGGACAACAGTCTGAACAATGTAAATAATTATAATATTTCATCTCAGAAATATAGATAGACCTTCTCCATAAACTGGAAAAATTTTTTTTTGTATTTGAGCTGCACAGTTCTTTTTTTAAAAAAGAAATTGAAAAGAAATAAATTGAAAATGTTGTCTATTATTTTCTTCTATCTTCAATGTTAGAATCAATTAACAAAAATATACAAAAATTGGCAAAATGTTTTTTTTTTAATGTTGATCTGACAAGACAATGCTAAGCAATCTTTTGGAATGATTTCACTTAAAATTAAATTCTATTAATGTGTCATCTAATGACAAAAACTGAACACTTTTTTAGGTTAACCTATTATAAGCGGTTGGGGTGAAAGAAAGTTGTTGACCAAAGCTACTTCACAAAATGTGGCCAAGTGAATAAACAATTTTTTTAGATTCCTTTTTGATCAGGCCAAAAATTTTTCAGCAGATCCTCAAGCAACCCAGAATAAATGAAGTCTTAAAATGACAGACACAAATTATGAGATACATATGTATAAAAAGCATCCTATTTCATAAGAAAAGGCTCCTTTTGAAAGTTGCTCTGCAATATTGATATTGTTTCAGTTGATAACATAAAAATTAAAAAGATGGTTTTACATTTACAAATGCTGATTAGTCGTTCTCAGTTAAAGATTTCTTTGAAATAAAACAAAGACAAATATTTGATACAAATAGTAACCTTTATAGAAATTATTAAAAATAAAGGCTATTATCTCAAACTGAAAACATTTTAGGATTTAATTATTAGTTCTAAGCCCCTATCTTTTGCAGAATATTAGGGACAGTGTTTTATTCTTTGGCTCTTTATTGTTTCTGTGTATTCAAATTCTTTAACAACAGTTTGCAGAAAAATGATTATTTGATTTTGTATTCATGAAAACCATGGCTGAATATAAAAAATTCAGCATTTTATACTTGTCATTCTTTTTCTTTGAAAAGAAAATGCAATAGAAACTTGGTATTGTATCCCTAAAGATTATTTTTCTTCACTTTACAATTTAATTTCTCTCATTTGTAATTAATTTATGAAATCATTTATTTTCTATTCATTGATAGAATAAACTTAACACCATAATTTATTTTCTCATAATGTGATGCATTCACTACAAACATTTATTCTAAGTTTCAATTTTTGTTGTCAAATCTTTTAATTTTAACGGATTCTCATTTCTATGATATTATTTTTTTTAAGTGAAATTTATGTGAATAAAAAATATGACAATATTCTGGACATCCCTTTTCAAAAATATTCGGTTAAAAAATTCTGTTAAATATTTTGGAAGAAAATCCAAATTATGAAATGTTTGAATATCAGAATAAAGTTTTTGGCTTTTATACAACAATGAATAAATTAATTGCTTGTAAAATCATCTTGAGGCAAAAACAGACCAGAAAAAAAAGGAAAGAAAGGGAATAAAAAAGGAAATCGATACTTTTTGACAAACAACCAAAAAAACTTTGAAGGAACAAAAAGCATTGAAGGAAAAGTCGTTTATGTGTTGCTAGCAAATAAGGAAAGAAGAAAAGCAAAGAAGAAAAGCAAAGAAGCAAAGAGGTCGACCAATCAGCTTTGCTCTGATCCAAACTTGGATGACCATTGCAACATGTCTGTGTTGATTAGGTAAAAAGCTTTCAGATGATCTCCAGACTGGCTGCTTCTAAAACAGACCCACCATCTCCACATGAGGAGAAATTAAGTCAAGTTAGCAGCGGCCAAAAGAGTCAGCTTAGAAGGGGTGCTGAGTAGAAAACACACATACACACACACACATTTTTTTTTCTTTTTAAACCCTAACCCATTCTCCTGGTCAGAGATCACCTTCTGGGGAGGCTGTCAGCATTCTGAGAATGTCTCTCATTTCTTCTTTGGGGTTTCACCATGCTAGAAATTCTTGCCATAAAACAAGAGCTTTCTGTTCCACCAACATCAAGACTTATAAAATGAGAAAGATTTATAATAAATAAATAAAATATACCACACACAAAAGAAAAATGGCAGCTTTCTCAATATTTGTAATGCTTGTTCACAAGTGAAAAACAAAAGTGCATGCATATGTAAATGTATGAAGTGGTATGGCAAAACAATTATGGAAAATGAAACCAGCAAACCAGGTTCAAACTGTGGCTGAGATGACAGCAGATTGTTCATTTCAGCTGAATGAAAAAGCAACAAATCCAATTCTTACTGCAATCTTTTTCTATAACAGATATCTTAAAAGGTTTTAATACTGACATGTCACAATATTTGACAGAGGAAATAGCATTCAATTGAACAAAATTACTCAAATTGCTATCACATATTTGCTCTACTGGGGTAGTAGTAGCAAAAATCTGTTACAACCATTGTTGATCTTGACATTTATTGTTTTATAAACAAATATAAAAAGACTGCATCTAGAATAAATTGCATTTTTCTATATCTTTTCCTTTTACAAAAATAATTCCCATTCACAGACACAAATTATTCAAACCACATTAGAAAGCGCTACTTGTATTCCTTTTTTTACCAATGGGTGATGAAAGAAAAGATATGTAAGGAAAATAACAACATCTGTTCATTACACACCTTGAAAATGATACAACCAGTAAGATCGAAGTATACATCAAC